ATTATGAGAGAACCCAAAAGATTACGGCCTGAGGATAGCTTCATGAGTGTCTATCCAATGCAGACTGAGCATCATCAAACTCCTCTTGATTATAAGTAAGTACATTTGATTGTTTTCTGTACTAGAACTTTATTAATTACATAGAAAAAAGTTAAGTTAAAAGAAGAATAAAATTCTCCTTGAAGCACGCAGGTAACATGGATGTTAGCTCAAAGACAACAAGAGGAAGCAAGGCAACAGCAGGAGAGAGCAGCAATGAGCTATGTTAAACTGCGAACTAATCTTCAGCATGCCATGTAAGTGAGAGTGCCTTATTGTCTGAGTCTAGGAAGTTCACTAATTCATTTTAACATATTTTAATGTGTGCCTTATATAAAATTTCAGCAAACTCTCTAGAGTAACTGAGCTGAAATAATCAAGGAACTAAAATTGGTCTTTCCAACAGAAAAAATAAGTTTTAATTTAAATATTAACTAGATAGCTAAAGGACCAATCTTAGGTTGATCTGTTGGAAAAGTTTAAATACGAATCCTTGTTTATTTTGGTACACAGAATTAAAAAATACATTTCTGTTACATCCTAGTGATTTTCCCACCTTAGTTCAGGCCCTCATCTCTAACTGTTTTTTTTCCCCTCAAACTCCCCATTTATCCTCTCACCAAACCCTTCCCTTCACACCCCCCACCACTCCATCATTCACACTGCCATCAAAAATTACTATTCTAGAATAAAAATCTTACCATGTAACCTCTTCCTTAAAATCTTTCCATGGCTCCCCATTGCCTGCTGGTAAAGTTCAAACTCCTTAGCTCATGGCATGCAAGATCTTTCAAAATATGGCCCCTGCTGTGTTTTAGTCTATCTCATTCCCTGAAAACTGGTAAAATCATCGTGAAAGAACAAGCTCAGGTGTCACCTTAAGTGAAGCTTCGGTCATCTATGCTCCTATGGCACTATGTATATTCATATTTCTTTACTTAACATATTGTATGAAAACTATTTGTTTATGAGTTTGTCCCTTTCTTTAGACTGTGAGCTCCTTAAGGGCAGGGACCCCATTCATTGCCTGTTAACATTTGGCACATAAAAGTTGCCAAATAAATGTTGATTGAATGAGTAATTGTTCAGTGCTTTAAAAACTATAGTTTATCTTTTGAATACTTTGTTTTTACTGGATTTTGTATGAAAACTTTGTATCTTTCTGAAATTTTTATTTGTTTTGGGTCTAAACAAGCAATGTTTAGATGTTTTATATGTCTTGATTGGTATGCAGGGAAAGTATGATGATTCTAATGAAGTTTTTCAGTTTGCAAGCATTATAATAAATGTGGTATTTGCTTTAATACTAGGAGGTAGTAATTGTTACCTTTTTATTTTTTAATTTTATATTTTGTTTGTTTTTCAATCAGAATTTTACTTGGTTTTTTTCTTAAGAAATGGTCATTTACCACATGAGTGGTGGCCTATATAAATTCACTTCAGTTATCTCATAGTGCTCTTTAAGAACCTCTATTGAGGCACATAATATACTATATTACATGTGTATAGACTCTGATCCTAACTTGGTTAATAAGGTCATCATCTGTACTATCACTTGATTCTGTCCTCTTTTTTTTCTGGCCATATTCCCTTTAACATATGTTCTTATTTCATGCTGTATCCTACAAGTGATTTTTTTTTTTTTTTAGCTTCCAGTCAGTCACCAATCCAAACACTCGAATTCATTCGAGAATTCTGCCATGTAATCATTTGGTTTATATCTCTCCCTTGAGAACTTGGTATTGGTTCCTGAGATCTTCTGGAGCATCTCATTACTCAGTACCATTTATCATTATTCTTTTCTTTGTACTGTTTTAATTCTCAGTTATAGGACATCTTTCCCAGGCAACTGCAAGGGGTTATCTCAATTAAGTAATTGTCACCAGAGAATTCTTTTGGTTTTGTTGTTTCATAAGTGGTCTGTTGTCTGGGATTTTTTTGGTTAAAACATTGCTTGGCTTTGAACCCGGTGCCTTACACCTGCTAGGCAAGTGTTCTACCACTAAGCTACATCTCTAGCCCATGATATATAATTTTTATTTTATTTCACAGTACTGGGGATTGAATGCAGAAGTGCTTTATCCCTGAACCTCATCCCCAGCCCTTTTTAGTTTTTGAGACAGGGTCTTGCTAAGTTGTTGAGGGTCTCACTGAGTTGGTGAGGCTGGCCTTGAACTGTGCTCCTCCTGTCTCAGGTCCCAATTAGCCAGAATTAGAGGCATGTGCCACTGTGTTGGGCTTGCCTAGGTCTTCAAAGTACTTTTAAAAAAATACAATAGTTTTTCTGTAATGAGACCATCCTATAATATAAATTACTTCCAAATTATCATTTTTTCCTGTAGTTTATATCACATACATCATGTGTGTACTCCAAATGAAATTCATCATGCATTTCTGGGTTTTGGTAACATGGTCCACAAAACTTGCATATTCCCTGCACATCTGCCTCCACAACATACAGTAAAGATTGTCTTGTCTTTTATTATTCAGAACTGTTACAACCATTATCAACATATTTGTCCAGGTAGCCTTGATCAGATATTATGGATGTTATCTTTGTATCTTTTATGATCCAGTATAATATTGTGTACATTGTAAGCAATTTTTTGGTGAGTCTTTTTCTTGGAGGAGGGATCTTTAGATAACAAAAGAAGAAGTCACATTTGACTTTACTCTTGGTTTTGCTGCTTTATGTTCATCTGGGTTAACTTGTAAACTTAGTTTATTTTCCCCATAATTATGTGATAATATGTAGACCTTTTGGTCTTTATTTTTATTTCTATATAATATCTTAGTTTGTGTTGCATACGACACAAGAATTCAAAATTCAATGTTAAGTATTGCTCATTTTTTTCTGAGGCAAAATTAATTCCTTCTTTCATTATATCCTTATAGCAAATGATGCATGGTTCTATTATAACACTTAATGTTTTGTCAATTAATTGTTTATCTGTTTTCCCATAATAGACTGTGAGCTCCTTGAGGGCAGGAATCATGTTTTGTTTTTGTTTTTGTTTTTGTTTTTTGCATCCAAAGGGCACAGTAGAAGCATATCACAGAGGAGTTACTCTGTGAATGAGTGAGTGCATGTGTGCCTGGTATATATTAGGTACTAAATGGATGAATTGAATAATGGATAAAATTAGTATTATATGATGAAAATATATGTATTCTGAAAATGTGATTTCTTTGGTCTCTGTTTTATGTTTGTTTATTAATTTGTACCCTGCCTACTTTCAAAAAGGATTTGAGGTATCTAGTATGTTCCCATGTGGGAAATTCTCATTGAATCTTATATATGGAATGTCAGAACTGTCTCTTTAAATGTTTCAAAGGAATGTAGAATAAATGTAACTTCTAAGCATTTTTCAACAAGTGGACATTGGGATTTATACATCATTGATGACATGATCAATGCCTAATCATTCTCCCTGACCTTTAATTCCATCATTTTCCATTATACTTGAATATAGAGAGCCACATAGTTGCTGCCTATGTATTAATAGTCATGACATTGGTTTAGATCTTGACTTTGTTTTATATTTCTCTAGTCGGCGTGGTACAAGCCTAATGGAAGATGATGAAGAGCCAATTGTTGAAGATGTTATGATGTCCTCAGAAGGAAGGATTGAGGATCTTAATGAGGGAATGGATTTTGACACCATGGATATAGACTTGGTAAGAAACTCACAGATACATGATTTCTTTATTTAGAGCCTTTGGAAACGAAGTTGGATATTTACTAGAGAAATATTTGCCTTGAAAAATAAGTTCTAGAAAAGTATTAAATAAAACAGTTGCCAGGAATTTGGTTATATGAGACGAGATTAAGTAGTATTTGAAGTTGGTAAAGATTTTAGATCTCAGTTTAAGATGACAAAACTGTGTATTTACACTGGGTGTGGTGGTGCACACCTGTAATCCTAGTGGTTTGAGAGGCTGAGAGGATCACAAGTTTAAAGCCAGCCTCAGCAATAGTGAGACACTAAGCAACTCAGTGAGACTCTGTCTCTAAATAAGGTATAAAATAGAACTGGGGATGTGGCTCAGTGGTCGAGTGCCCCTGAGTCCAATCTCCAGCACCAAAATACTGTATTTACCTTAGAGATTAATTTAGGAATATATAGCATTATATGATATACTTTTCATATTAATTAGACTAGAAATCATGATATTTATTGGTTATATGTCAAGTTTTTAGAAAATATGAGATATGGGCTGGGGTAGAAAATATGAGATATGGGCTGAGGTTGTGGCTCAGCAGTAAGCACTCGCCTAGCACATCTGAGGCCCTGGGTTCGATCCTCAGCACCACATAAAAATAAATAAATAATGGTATTGTGTCCAACTACAACTAAAAAATAAATTAAAAAAAGAAAATATGAGATAATATTCTAAGTATCACATCACCTTTTAATTTACCATTCATTTGCCATATCAAAATAGTATATTATTAACTTGATACTACCCTGTTATTGAGACAAAGTTCCATTTCAAATAATGATGTAAAATTACTTAGACTTAAGAAGAAATTAAGTATATACAAGGGACTATTCATTAATAATTATGTGTCTAGTCAGAGCTTACTGTATACAAAATACTTCCGTATGTTTCATTTTGCCAACTATCTCATTTAACTTAGTGAAAAGTAGATTGAGAGGATTTGAGGATATTGAAGCCTAAAAAGTTAGCTTATCCAAGGAGAAAAATCTAATAATTGGTAAAGCTGAGACTTATTATAAACTATGTCTTTAGTCTACTTTTTAGAATACCATGGTATATTCTCCTTAAAATAAAGAAGTAATTAAAATATTAAAATCTTCTCTTTAGAATAATATAATTTGGTGTCTTTAGAGGGAAATTATTTGAGGGAGGGAATTTTAAAGTAAAATGAAAAATTGAGCTTGTAGTTTTTGTCATTCAGAATAATTTTTCCACAAATGAATTTTTGTACTTTTAAACATTGCATAATTGAGTACTCTATATTTGAAGTTTATAAGATATACTAGGAATCACATAGGCCAAACAAACGCCTAATGATAATTAATATGGCTATTTTCAGTTACTATCTGGCTTATAGATTTACTATCAACTTTCTTTTTTTCCTTAGCCACCATCAAAGAACAGACGAGAGAGAACAGAACTGAAGMCTGATTTCTTTGATCCAGCTTCAATTATGGATGAATCAGTAGGTTTGATTTAAATGTACTCCAGGATTGCGAAATCACGAGTATAGTAGTCCCTAAGTTTGAGGTTGAAGAGCTGGGGCAGCATACTGAGAATGGATGAAAAAATTGGATATGAGAAAAGGCTGTCAGGGAGGATTTTGATGAGAAAGGAGTGGTGATACAATAGTGATAAATGATTAAAAGTGCTCTTGAATCCCTGGTCAGCTGGGACTAGAATGTTAAGAACCTTTCCTGTAGGATTGGGTTACCCATTGAAGGATTTTAAATGAGAGATGACATGAATCAGAATTGTATTTCATGGGCTGGGGCTATAGCTCAGTGGTAGAGTACTTGCCTAGCATGTGTGAGACACTGAGGTCAATCCTCAACACCATATAAAAACAAATAAAATAAGAATTAAATTCTTAAAAAAGAATTGTAATTCATGAAATTTCCATGGCATTTATGGATGGATAGAATGAATACGAGAACAATCAAAGGCAATAAAAACTTGAACAAAGATTTTTGAGAATAAAATCCAGATATTGAGATATCTAAGATGAAGATTCAGTTATTACTCTCTAGTCCTCACTTGGTAACTATTGGGTTTTGTCAGTTCTTTTTCTTAAATACCTCATACCAGCCCCCTGTTCCATATTCTCCCTGGCCATGCCCTGACTTCATGTCCTCCTCAATGGGACTGTTGCAGAGCTTTTAAACCAATCTTGGTGCCCTACTTTTCCTTTATAAATATCTTTTGGGATTATCTTTGTAATATGCAGATATGATTTTTTCACCTACGGTTCTAAGTCATTTTGACACCACCACCACCACTACCTTCAAGAAAAAATTCTGAGTCCTTAGCCTGGCAAACAATATCTTTCTTGATCTAGCTCCTTTTCCACCTAAACCTTGGCCTTTTCCTTATAATTACATGTATCCTGTGCTCTAGCCATTCCAAATCTTGTAGTTTATCTATGATATAGTATAATCTTTCATAAATCCATGAAAGCTTTTTTTCTCTGCCAGAAATACCTACCCCTTTCCTTTTCCTCCTAGGGAATTCTTCCTTTAGTATGCAGTTCTAACATTACTAGTGATAGTTTTGCTGATCTCTTAAAATATTTTATTCTTTGCTCCCTTTGACACTTTTTATACAAATTCATTGTGATAATTACCAGACTGGTGCAGTGAGATATGTTAATTACATGTCCCAGTCCCTCAATAGACTGAACTCCTTGAAACAGTGATGGTTTTCTTGAGTTCTGTCTAATATAGTAGGTGTTTGGTTTTGTCAGATGAAGAAATCATTTAAGTGCATCTCATTTTTTTCATGCCCACCTACTTATACTCCTTTCTCATTACACTTACTACTTAGGTGACTGTTGTACCATCCTCTGAGGCACCATTTCCTCCTTGCCCTCTCCTATCTCACAGTCTGCTTTCAGATAGCCCTTGGAAATATTTTAACAAACAAATTCACATTACCTGATTATATTAATAAGGTCAGTTGTTAACTCAGAAGATTCTCAGAGCAGCAGGTACAGAAATATTTGGATAGCCTGGTGCAGTGGTGCATACATATAATTCCAGCAGCTTAGGAGGCTGAGGCAGGAGGATCATAGGCCATTCCTCAGCAACTTAGTGAGGCACTGAACAACTCAGCAAGACCATGTCTCTAAATAAAATATAGAAAAGGGCTTTCTAAGTGTCCCTGGGTTCAATCCCTGGTACAAAAAAAAAAAAAAAAGAAAAAGAAAGAAAGAAAGAAATATTGGGATAGACCTCCTTAGGAACTTTTTAACCAGTATTTCTGAATCTCTAATGTGCATTTGAATCATCCATAATTCTTACTAAAATGTGACTTAGATTCACCTTCAGCGAGTCCAGAGCATGGTCTGAGTTTCTGCATCTTTAATAACTGCTGTTGATGCTTCAGGTCTGCAGACCATTCTTTGAGTTACAAGGTTTATGGTACATAGATGACCTATCCTATCTATAAGTTTATAGTTTAAGTGCATATTAAAGTAGGTGGTTTTCTTGATAATTTAGGAGAATATATCTTCCCAATTTGTTACATAAAACATGAAGGGAGGATTGTGATGGGGGATAAAAGAGAATCTTTTCAAGCAGATATGATGAAATGCATTTGTCCAACACTTTATTGAGGTGGAAGTATTGAGCTGGAAGTTGGTGTTAAATGCACAAGACACTCTCCCTGTCCTTAAGTAATGCATATTCTAGTGCATTTGGACTATCACTTTGAAATAAGAGCTTTTGTTCCTGACACTATGCTAGGTATGATTTATTTTGATCCTTGCAGTAACCTTGTGAGAAAGATGGTGGGATTCTCACTTTTATACCCAAGCAAACCGAAACCAAAGAGGTAGTTTAGTGACTAAGGAAGAGTTATACAACTAATAAGTATCAGAGTAATAATTTGATGCCAGTTCTTTTGATTTTTATAATCTCATGCTGTCTCTACTATTTTATATTTATCAAAACTAAAATGAGATCTCATTTAGATGAACCACCAAGAAAAGTAATTAGGAAATTGAAATGGTTAGCTGTAGTCAAAATTGCTATGATAAGAGATCAATATTTTTAATGTATTAATCTGTTGTCAGAATTTTAAGTATTTTCAAAAAGTGTTCTTCCAATGACTAAAATAATGAAACAGTAATGTATTTTTTGACATTTAACATTTAGAGAAAACAAAAACTTGAGGTCAGAAGTAGGGACCCAAAAATATTTATTGTTTATAGCAACTTTATGACATTCTCCTATATATTGGTTATATTATAACCGGGAAGCTTTTTGTTGTTGTAGTTAATTTGATAAAAGTTTAACTGCCTCTGCTTCTAAAATAAGGAAATGAGTACGTGTACCTATATCTGTAGTTTTGTAGTATTACCACATGATGGCAGTAGTCACATAACTGAGTGCTTACTAATCTTTAAAGGTTTGGGTACCTTTAGAAATATTTGACCGTGTATTTTCAAATAAATGAGTTTGTTTTTTTCTTTTAAATATATATACCCCATAGTGTCTCAACCATAATGCAAGAATAGGATAACAGAAAAGTTAGAGTGTAAAATCTGTTTGCCTTAATGCATAGATCTATTATAAAACCTATGATAAGTGAGTCATCAAAATAGTATAATTGGAATTTAAATCCCTTAGTGACCATTTCTCAGATTCTTCAGTTCTAAGTGAAGTAACTCAAAGCACCTTAGTGTAGATACTTCAGGTTATTACAAAAGTAAATCCTAACATGATTTTCACATCATCTAGGAGTAATAATATAAAAACTCCAAGCATATCATTTTGGAGTTACATATACATAGGATTCTAGATTTATGGTATAGTTGTTTTTATATTTGGAAACAAAATTGTTTCATCCATGTGATAGTGGTTATTTTCTGCCAGTATTGATACAACATGCCAAAGTTTGATATTTGTATGTTTAAGTAGATGTATTGTTTATTAATGTCAACATCAAAAACTCAATTTGTATTAGCACAGAAAAGAGTGTGTCACTTTTTTCCTGTTTTGAAATTCTTTTAATGGAATTATCTGTAGTATAAAATGGGTCAAAGAAGAGTTTAGTATAATAGAGCTAGTTTACTGGTCTCAAGAAAATCTAGTTATGACCTAGTCAAAAATAATTTCAGGTATTCAGGTGCTTTCTAATTAGGCACTCTGGAAAGAACTTGAGTTCATCATCATTCTACACTAAGAATAGGCTAATTAAGATTTTATCTTTTCATTAACTATCAGACCTTTCAATGTTTTGGCTAGAAGGGCTAGGTCTCTTTAGTGAAATCATCCTAACTACCCAAACTCTGACTTTTAATAAAAGAGAACCCTGAAACTTCCTGGAGGAGAGGGGAAGTCAGGGGATGAACACTTGAGTTGATAATTCATTACAGCAAAGCTGCAATCACATTGATATTTGTTTTCCTGGTCTGAAAATACACAGTTCCTTTAACAATCCATGCATTCTGACTTGGTCAAATAAGATTTAACTTACAAGTAAAAGCCCTTTGTGATCTCAATCCCAGCTTGTTACCTCTGGCTTTGATAGCAGTTCTAACTAGTTCATTATAGTATTCTAAAATACTGCTTAATTGGCATAATAAGTGCTAGAATTTAATCGAAATACCTAACAGTATGTATGCCAAAAATTAGGTGCTGCTCTGGTTTAATGAATAAGGGAGTTACTCCATTCATCATCTGCTTTTACTTTTGGTGACAAGTAATTATTAGATTTTACCTACCTAACATGCTTTTCCCAACTGGAATATATAGAAAAGTACCTACCAATATGTTATTTTTCCTAGATTTCACCTTATTTGATTTTTAAAAACATTTATAGTTCTGTTCATTAATTCAGGCAACATTTAATTCTAAAGAAAGCTTTCTATTGTCTACATTTATTATTCTTGGATTTTTTGGGGGGAGTTGCATGTTCAATTGCCTTTTTAAAAACTATACCCACTTCAGACTGCAAGTGGACAAGTTTGTAAAATATTTTCTTAAACTCTTTGCAGTGAACCTGTGCCAGAAATATATGTCAGAAAGTGTGTTCATTTGTTCATTTAACAAATGTTGAGTACCTTACTTTGTTCAGGGCATTTAATGGTATATATAAACAAAATTAAGCCAAGGTCCCTATTCTTAGCTTTTTTTTTTCTCTCCTATTCTTAGTTTTATTTTTGAGATAATTGGCATCTTGATTAGTCCTGATGTAGTCATTTCATTATTTATTAATGGTTACTTTAACTTTGAAATTAATAATCAAATGGTTTTATTGATGTTATTTAACATTATTAATGTAATGTTTACAGACTTTTATTAAGAAATGAATGACTATTTTAACAAGATTTTTTTTTTCCCTCTCTCATTAGGTTCTTGGGGTGTCAATGTTTTAATACCAKTACACAAATAAATCTGTGGTGAAGTCAATTTCTAAGTGGAAGAGGAAATTTTAAAATAAAAGTGTGGTAGATACAGTGAAATTCTGTACAGATTTTTCTCTAAGGAGAATATGACACGCTTATGCTTACCAAGATTCAAGTGCATTGAGGGGAAGTTTTGTTTGCCTGAAAAAAGTAAAGGACAAGTAAACAATTTGATGATRAGCTACAGTTTTTCTTAGAAAGTAAATATTTTATTTATGCRCTGTTAGTTGGCTTTTWAATMAATTATTTCATGCTTTTTWWAAAAAWATATAACAATCTGAAGAGGCATWTGGTACAGATAAGAATCCTCTCACATTTATTTACTGGTTGTACTAATTAATGATGACCTCTGCTGGATTTCTGTTTACATCTAAGAAATGTTAAGGATGAATTTATTCCCTGACCCTGAAATTGTAGGATAGAATTGTTTTTAGCATTCTAAATTTAAATGCTTAAAACATCAATCAACAAAACTTTGTTTTAAATATTGTAATTGTGGAGAAAAGTTAAACTTATAAGCAGAACTTTTACAATTTTTCATCTAAAATGTATTTTAAGATATTTTTAAAATCCAAGAGCTTCTCTATACTTTTCAGAACTATCCAGATGCAGTGAACTGCCAGAAGGTAACCAGTCTCAAACATGCTTATCCCACTATCAACCCTGAAAGTTTGCTTGTCCTTTAAGATAAAAATGTAATGTTGTGATATTCCTTCCAGTAGTGCCACTGTATTTTGTCTCCAAATAAAAGAAGCTTATTGTAGTATGTTTGCAGAAAAATTCTAAACAAAAATTATACAGCTTATTAGAGTGTGGGAATRGGGATCTAAATTTTAAATAAAATTATATATATATATAAATTGGTGCTGATTTTATAATTGCGCAGTTTGTTTAGTTTTTTCTTACTTTTAAATTCCAACTTAAAATTATGAGGTTTCAGAAATATATTGAAAGTTTAACAATGTTTAAAAATAGAAAAGCATGAGTGTTCATGCTTTAAAATGATTTTTAAATTTGTATTTTATATTGTTTTATCTATCTGTCTTTGCAAGCAGTCTTCAGGTTAAAGATACTTCTAACAGGTTACAGTACATTTTCCTCTGTATGTAAATTAGATGGGATAATAGAATTCATAACCCATAATATTCTTTGAAAGCTAAGCTTTAAACTTCATTTTATGTCCTTTCACAAATGAATTAGTTTCAAACAGAAAGTGGCTACTTGCCATTTTGACATCAACTCATTTTGCGAGGCTTAGGCAGCTAGACATCGTTTAAAACAAAATATTAACTTATATTACATGTGTATCTATCTTTTGTCAGTCGTCTCTCAGTTCTTGAGGTATATTATTTTAATCATTCCATGCCTTAATATGCTTGCAATACAAGAATATCTTCTGATGGGTGAATACCAAAAGACTTCCAGTTTTTAGATTCAGAAATCAACAAGCATTGGGCTGTGGTAGCCAAAAACCATAGGTTAGCTAAAAGATCATGATGAAATACAATTATTTTATTAAATCATGGTTAATAACAAATGAAAACAGACTTGTCTAACAGATTTTCCATCAACAAATATTGTTATGTGCAAAAGTATTGCATATGTTGTTTTACACACCACTGCATTTACTAGAACTGCTGAGAGGACTGTATATATGATTTTAAACCTAAGTTGATTTTTTTCCTCACTCTTGAAAGGAGTACTTCTTTGTGAAAGCAGTTCTTACAGCTTTGTTTTCAACCAGCTAAAAAATGTTTTATATATTACTCTAACCTGTTGTCCTCCACATTCTATTGTCCTAATTGTACTGTTTTCTGATTTGTATTTATGTCTTGAGACAGTAACTTTTTGAATAAAAATAAACCTACAGTATGTTGTATGTTTTATCTCTTGTAATTAAAGGGGAAGGGTGGCTTTAAATGGTTTACAAATTATATCTATTACATTTTTTAATGTGTTTGAGTGGGAATATTTATAGAAAACAACATCACTTTATATTTTAAATAAATCATATGTATTTTTAAATGAGACTAAATCCCTAATTGGGTTATTACTTTAAAATAAGAACGTGTAACAATTATTGCTCTGATTTTTTTTTTAATCTGGTATGTGTTGAACAAATTTTGAATTGTCTTCATTGTTTATTAAGTATACATTTGAGTGCCTACTGTGTGCCAGGCACATGTTAAAGGTCCTTCCCTCAGATCCAGTGTGAAAAACAAAATAAACTTGTTCTAACTGCTAGGAAGGAAACTAGCAGAGAGTACTGAAAGAATGAGAGAGAGATCTACCTTAAATAATGGGTTCATGGTATGGAGGTAAAAGCCAACATAATTGAATTTCTAGTGAAAACTGTCTTGAGTGTATTAGCAACATTTGCGTTTATAGTCTTTAAGAGACATCACTGAACTTGAGCTAATTTGTGGATTAGGAATCTTTCGTTGGTTCAGAACTGAATATATGAAATGATAGGTAATAGCTAGCCACTGTTTGAAGTAATAACTGATAAACCTCATGTCAAGTGGTAATGCATGTTACTATCCCTATCCTCCTTTGTGGTACTGGGGATTGAACCCAGGAGTTCTCTACCACTGAACTATATATCCCTAGACCTTTTACTTTTTGAGACAAAGTCTCACTTAAGTTGCTGAGGCTGGCTTCAAACTTGTAGTTCTCTTGACTCAGCCTCCCAAGTAGCTGGGATTACAAGTATGCACTCCACCACCACCACCACACACATTTTAGCGAATCAAAAGGAAGGGAGGAAAATGGCACAACCAGGATACTTATTCAAGGTGATATGGCAAGTAACTGATAGTTTTAGTATTCAAGGCCAGGCAATCTAGTTTCATTATGTCCCATATACCATTGAAACTGTTTAATACATGAGTATATTATACACAATTGCATAAAGATAAAATGGCACATTATTCATTGTGCCATGATGCATCTTTAAGGAACTCAACTGGCTGTAGAGTGTATTGTGAGTCAACATTGTCCTTAATGTGACCCAGCTATCTTCAGTAAAGAAGGTATAAGTTAAATCTGAGCTTTGATCCTATCAATAATAGTTTCAAAAGTTGGGAGTGGAGGGGGAAGTAGGATAACCCAAAAGAGGTGTCCTCAGTATCCTCCGACAAAATGTACCTGTGAGAATACATATGAATGAATTCCAGGTCAGATAGACTTTTCTGGTAGCTGTGATGATTCAGCAAAAGAAAATGAGCCAATATAACACAAGGCCTTTGTTTTGAGGAACCTAGGTGATAAAGTTTACTGAATAAATATTCCTTCCGGTCAACAAATCTTCAACTGTACTGGGTACTGCTGGGTACTCAAAGACCCGCAAGACAGATCTTGTTTTGAAGCTGCCCTCAGTTCCTAGGATTTGGGATGCAAATGTAATAAGTTAAGTACATTGTTTTTACAGGCTGTATGAAAAGCATAGAGCAAGGGCAATAGCTGCAGATATGCTCAGGAAGCCTTCCAATAAGATACTTGAGTTTTTCCCGTAACAATTTTTTACAAAAAATTTCACAGTTTTATGATAAAACACACTTTATACTTGGTATTACTGCATACCCATCAGTTTCATTTTTATGTATTTCAAAGTAAATTGCAAACATGGGTGAAGTACTTCCTAAATACTTCAGCATACGTATCATTAAGAGTTTAATATTTATTAACTTTTTTGTTAGTGTAAAATTTATATACAGGGAATACACAAACTGTAAGTATATATTTGCTGTTTTGACAAATGATTAAAGTTGTGTAACTCAAAATTCCTCTCTCAAAGATACTGAACATTACCATCAACCCAGAATGTTCCTTTATGTATTTTTTTAATCTTTGATTTATTTATTTTAATGTGGTGCTGAGGATTGAACCCAGGGTCTCACACATGCAAGACAAATGCTCTACCACTGAACTACAACCCCAGCCCTATGTTTTTTTTTTTTTTTTTTTTTTTTTTTTTTTTTTTTAATTCTTACTGGGGAGAGGTACTGGGTAGTGAACTCTGGGGCACTCAACCACTGAGCCACATCCCCAGCCGTATTCTGTATTTTATTTAGAGACAGGGTCTCACTGAATTGCTTAGCTCCTTGCTTTTGCTGAGGCTGGCTTTGAACTCATGATGCCTCACCTCCTGAGCCATCCTTTATTCTCTTTATCTAGTCTGCTTCCATCCTTTTTACACTGGCAACAACTTCTTTGTATCATCTATTAAATTTAGCTGTTCTAGAACTTTATATAAATGGAATCATACAGTATTTTTTTGTGTAAGGTCTATAACTCAGCAGAATGTTTGAAGATTTAACCACCTTGTGTGTATGAACGGCTTATTCCTTTTATTCCTGAATAGTATTCATTTGTAAAGATGTAATTTATGAATTGAATGGTTGATGGTCATTTAGGTTGTTTTTACTGTTGGACTATTATGAATAAAATGAAACTGCTACTTGAGTTACAACTTAAATTCTGAGAGGTCAGCCAGATGAAAGGGGCATGAGGTGACTATAGCTAAGAATTTCAGGAATGGAAACAGCATAAATGACATCTTTGATGTAAGAATTGTTTAGTATCTGCTTAGGAGTGGCTAGGGCAAGACAAAGAATGGTTGGCTATCTATTATCCCATACCTCACATAAATAAGCCTTAAAAATGAAAGGGCATTCGTAACTTGTACTTTTGGTAACAAAGGGGTGTTTTCTCATTATTCAATCTTTTTGAATTTTTAATCGATACAGTTGTACATATTTGTAAAGGATAGTGTGATAATTCAGTACATGCATATACTACGTAATGATCAATTTAGGGTAATTAGCATTTCCATCTTTAAACATTTATCATTTCTTTTTATGGGGAGCCTTAGAACTCTTGTTACTTGAGCATATTTGTTTTTTGTGATGTCAGAATTGGCAAAGATCCTTCTTTTAAAGGCATGATGCCCTTAAGTTGTGACAAATTAATTTATCTAGTAATTTGATTGTTTTAGTTATATTAGGCCTTATTTTTTAAAACATCTTTATTTTGTTTGTTCATTTTTATGTGGTGCTGAGGAACAAACCCACTGCCTCACATGTGCAAGGCAAATGCTCTGCCACTGAGCCACAACCCCAGCCCTGTTAGGCCTTATTCTAACATTGAGGAAAATAATATGCTTTTTAGCCGTTCATCATTTCTGTAGTTGTGTCAATAATAAGCTGTAAATTCCTGAAAACGATTCCTTGGTTGAAGTTAATTTGGGACTGATAATATAAACATAAAATGAAAGGCTGGCTTCTATAAATATAAAAAATTATTTTGGTTGATGAAAAGTGACATCATGTAAAACACAATGGTTTGAAATATACATATATTGTAGAATGACTAAATCAAACTGATGCATTACCTCATACTGTATTTTTTTTTGTAGTAACAACACTTAATACCTACTCTCAGTGATTTTTTAGTAACAATGTATTTCACATGTAAGTGATATTGCTTTGTATTTTATCCTATACCTGGCTTATTTCACTTAACATACTATCTTCCTGTTTCATTTCACATATGGCAGGATTTTCTTTTTTTAAGGTGAATAATATTCCACATATCCCTTACTTTTTATAGTGCTAGGAATTGAACCTAGGGCCCTGCACATGCTAGGCAGTTGCTCAACAATTGAGCTCTCCTTAGCCCCCACATTTTCTTAGTCTGTTCATACCCTTACGTACACTGTGGTTTATTTCTTATCTTGGCTATTGTGAGTAATCTTGCAATGAATATGAGAATACAAGGGCTGGGGATGTAGCTCAGTAGTAGAGCACTTGCCTAGGATATATGAGGCCCTGATTCAATCCCCAGTACTGTAAAAGCAAAACAACAAAAAAGAATATGAGAGTAGTTGTTTCTTCAACATACTAACTCCATTTTCTTTGGATATATATCTAGGAGAGGGATTGCTTGATCATTTGGTAATTCTATTTTTAATTTCTTAAAGAGCTTCCATGCTGTTGTCCATAATAGCTGTACTAATTTACATTCAAACCACCAGTGTACAGGGTTCCCTTTTGTCCACATCCTTACCAACACTTGTTTTGTCATCTTGATAGAAGCCATCCTAATGGGTGTAGGGTGATAGATATCATTGTGGTTTTAATTTGTATTTCCCTGATGATTAGTGATACTGAGCATCATTTCTTATGTCTCTTGGCCATTTATATGTCATCTTTTGAGAAATGTCTATTCACATTCTTGGCCCGTTTTTTCTATTCTACTATTCAGTTGTATGAACTTCTTGTAGAAGGGTTAATATCCTTATCAGATGTATGGTTTGCAAATGTTTTCTTCCATTTCATAGATTGTCTTTGATATAACAGTACTGTATCTGTTTTTGTTCTTGTGTCTTATATTCTTCAGGTCATATTCAGTCATTGCTCAAAGTGACCATGGAGCTTTTCTCTTTGTTTCTCGTAGTAGTTTCATGGTTAGGTCTTAAATTTAAGTCTCTAATTCATTTTTTAAAAAATACTTTTGTTGTAGATAGACATGATATCTTTATTTTGTTTATTTAGTTGTTTTTTTTTTTTTAATGTGGTGCAGGGGATTGTACCCAGTGTCTCATGCATGCTAGGCAAATGCTCTACCACTGAGCCACAACCCCAGCCCTCTAATTCATTTTGAGTTGATTTTTATAAATGAGAGTAAGAATCTAATTTTTATTCCCCCTGCATGTGAATGTCTACTTTTCTCAACTTTTTTTTTTCTTTTGGCAGTACTAGGGATGTAGCTCTACCACTGAGCTACATCTCCAGCCTTCCTCCTCCATCAATAATATTTTTTTATGAGGGTGCCCATTCTCCAATGTGTGTTCTTCTCAGTCAATTGGTAAT